CAACTGTTGACTTTTTGCACAATCACAGGTATTCCCAGCAGTTTTGCCAATAAACGATCACCAGGAGCAGTGTTAATAATTGCTAGAGATGTTGCTTTAGCATTTATTATGGTAAAATGAGGCTTACTTAGGGGGAAAATAGGTAAAAAATACAAATTTAAATTTAGTTTTTAGGTAATTTACAATTTTCCTAATATTTATATATTTATATAGAAGTTTAAAAGTCTTGCCAATCTAATAACATTTTTTGTTAGCTTTGACAAATAATTTATTAAACAAAAAATTTGCTATTATGTCTTATCAATTAATTCGACCTCAACTACCATTTTCACTTTTATTAAAAATTCATGAAAATGAGCCGCATTTTTGTGCAGCTCTGACGAAACACTTAGCAAGCGGATGTTTTGAGGAAATTGTTTTTGCATGAGTGTTGTTTGGCCGTAAAACAGAATACGCCCGGGAGTGATGCTAACAAACAAAGCTGGCACTTTAAGCTAATGGCTGTCCTAGAGTCAAATTGCCGCAGGCCTCATTATGCATACAAAATGAAAGCTTATTGGCCGGACGGACAAACACCCGGGACAGAAAGCACGGATACGCCAAAAACAGCAACCGGTGCATGGAATACGGACTACGGACAACGGACAACGACAATGACAGTTGCGTTTACGTTACGGACAAACAAACAATACTACGGGCAATATGAAAGTGCGCACACAACGGCACAAAATCATTTGAAAGCAATTATATCAGACAAATACGACGACGAAGGAGGAGGACGAGGGACGGCGGCACTGGGAATGGGTCATTCCGTGCTCCAAGCACGGCGTACAATGAATCAATTTACGGTACGTAACAAAGCCGCAATTACAAGCGAGCTGGGCGAGCGACAGGGACAACAGAGACGAGAAACAAAACGACAATTATGAAAAGAGCAGCGAGTGCAATTGCAATCCCAATTCCACTGACAGTTGTCGATGCATTGCAATGCACAATTTTTGGGGGCACGCTAAATGACGCAGGGGCCTGGACCGATTTTTTTTCTATTTTCCTCCTTCTTTTTCTCGTTTTTCGCCTGCATTTCTTGTTGCATTCTGCCCAGAGAGTTTTTCCCGAGACCCGCGTGTCAGTTCTAATGGATAATTGTCGGACTATCAAGCCCGTTGCAAGGCATTCTTGGTTGCAGCGCAGCGAAAGGGTAGCTTGGGGGGAGATTAGCGATTCGAGGGGTTGGCCGGAAAACCACCCTTCGGCACTTGTTGATTCCAGATTTGGGTTAAATCATTTGACACGAAGGCGGAACTAAGTCAACCTAATTAGTTTTGGAAAGGGTTGAATTTGAGGTTTGCATTTGAGACCTCGAAAGGCCAAAGAGATGAAGTATTTATTTATTATTTAAGTTAAATTTATAAATACAATTTTTTATAGGAAATATACTAATTAGGAAATTATACCTGCGATAGAAACTATTGTATTTTCAAGATACTTCCTTTTTTAATTGCGATAAATCCCATTAAAATGCTAAAAACTATACCAATAAATATATTTAATAATAAAGTAATAAATCTATAAATTAATTAATTAATTGAAAACTATTTACAGTCTCTATTTCCTCATAAAAGGTATCAACCTAATCGATCACTCCACTAAAAACGATCTCGCTCACTCGATGTTTGCTGCATTCGCACTAAAAATACGTTGGCAAAGTGAATTGTATTAATAGCAGGGCATTTATTTAGTTATTTCAAAGTTTTGTTTTGTTTTTATTTTCTTATTTTACTTATTTTCTTTCGCCTTTGTGTTTATTTACTTTGCCATTTTGCGCTTTGCATCTAGCGAATCTTTTTTCTGCTTTTTTATGTATTTTATTTTCTAGGGGCCCTTCAAAAGATTTATAAAGTTGCCAAAAGAGTGGGAGTGGGAGGGAAAGCGGGAGCGGGCGTTGGGTGGCATCAAGGGGGCGGGACGGGAGCGTTCAAAATTACTGAGCCGTGGCGATCGCCGCGCCAGTCAACGAAACTGTGAATGGAATTGTATTCGCATGTTTTCAACGATATTCGCCAAGTTGCACAACGAAAATAGAGAAAGATGCAGATACTTTGACTAGGCTACAGATACAGATATACTTGTGGCGCGGAGATGCGGATGCATCTGTATCTGTGAATCTGGGCAGCGTCATCAAAAGGTATTTTGCATTAATTCAAGATTTATGCATTCAACATTCGCTAGGTGCTGCATTTCCCATTCGCATCGCCACAAGACTTTTACCTAACTTCGATGCTGCCAGTCAGTGTTGGGAAAGATACCTAAGACTATGGTACAATATAAATATATAATTAAAAATAAAAATTAAACTATGTAATTTTAATATTTTTGGTGACTTAAAACAGTTTTTAATATTATAGTTAATTTGAATTTCGTTAGAACACATTGAAGTCGCTGAAAGTTTATCCAATTTGCAATTTTTTTAATTTATAATTAATCCAAGTTCAAGAAATAATATGTTTAAGACTCCCTTTATAGTTTTAACTCAAATTATAATTAATACTTATAATTCATTATACAATATAACAGTTACAGTTGAACAGCAATGTGATATAACAGTAATAGTTGAGCCCTTTTCCGCGTTTTTCTTAAATTTGACTTGGTTAGTAATTAAAGTTTATTAAATAAAATCAACAACCATTAATATTAGATATTAACTCAACGTTTCGATCATCATTTTAACTATGAAAACCATAGCCAAAAGTAGGAAATCAGTGCCTAGGTACAAAAACAGATACTTTACATCACTGGCTGCAGTGGCAATAGTTGCACCAGTGGCTGCTGCTGCTGCTGCTGCTGCTACTGTTGCAGTTGTTGCACCTGCCAACATCGTCGGAGCTCAGCGAGCAGCAGGTGATCCATTTCTTTTATCCGGTGGCCTCCGCTTTCCCGCCACACGAGAAATATGGCAAGGGATTGTTGGTGAAGGGAAATGTAAGGGGCGGGCCAGCCTATTTTTGCCCGTGTTGTTGCGAGTTTGCCAAACTAATGCAAATAGACAAGAAGAGCTGCAATCAACATCCGCGCACCTCCTCCTCTCCTTTGTGGAGTGCTGAAATTCACTTGGGTTATACAATTTGCAGCATTTCGATAATAGATATATTTATACCCGTGCATCTATGTGGATGTATATGCATGAACTGCATAATTTATGGGCATTGCGTGTTCAATGGATTGCGACGACTGTTCGGGCCATATGGCTGTACCTATAGTATGACTCCTCTCTCTCTAGTTTCTATGTCTCCCAGGTTTTGCCCTAATGGGGTTTCGGGGGGAAGCTGCAGATGGAGAGATGATTGCTGGGCCCGACTGAAATTATGAACGGATTATCTGATCTAGTTTGGCATACGAGCGATGGTGAGCCCTTCTCGGCGATTCTCACTACGTGTACTTGGGTGGGTATGGAAATTGTGAGAAAAGCTAAACTTTTTGTAACATTTAGCTGTATTAATTCTATTTTTTATAGTAATAATAGGACAGTGTAACATAATATATGGTATTCAAAATGTACAAAGAAATCTCTTGAAATAAATCTAAACTTAAATCGAACTTAATTAAACTTAAAACAAACAACTTTGTTCAGCAAGTGCATTGAATTCTTGTTAGTTTAAAGTGGATAATAAATTGCATGTAAATTCCGGCTTAATGTTTTATAAAAACCACAAACCAACACCATTTATTTTGCCATAAATGCTTGACGAAATTGCCAACTGAATTTTAAACCAAACTATTTCGTTTAATTAATGGATAATCACTTTTAAATTGAACTGAAAGCAGAGCTTTGGCAAGCACAATATGAATTTATCATTTAAAAAGGTAATTAGCTTAAAATATACAGCTAAATATAAAATAAAAAATATTAATCATTCATTTCAGCCAAGAATTCTAATATTATCCAACTCTCTTTTATTAATGTTTAATGCTTTTCAATCTCAATTAGATGCTTCAAACCGAATAAATCGATTTGCGCGCTCTTTTCCATAATTTGTTCACTTTATGGGCTGCGTCAAAAGTCCGTACCCACTTCCATTCCAATCATTACCTTCAATCAAACCACTTGACTGCCAATCACCGGATCGCCCATTTGTTTGTCTGACTTTGTGACGGCAAAACGATGCCCCCGCCTCAGACCCAAAAACCCAACGCCAAAACCAAAGCCGATGCAAATTATCAGCAATGCAGCTCGCAATTAATCTGCTGCATATGACACCGCAATCACAACTTAACCCATTTTGGACCGGCACAAGCACACAAGTGTATAAATGTTGGATGAGAGAGGCACTGCCGGCACTGGAAGCTGGGCAATCGGACTGATAATAAACTGTAGCCGGAAGGATGGCAACGGGGACGAAAACAGTAACTGCATTGCACTAAAGCACTAAGCCGAATGGCTTTAATTGAATTTTGATGTCCTTGGCAAATTGTTTTCTAATTAGTTTCGCAGACTTGGATCCCCAGCTGGGCCAGCGCGTCCATTTCTGGCCAGTCCTGGCCAGTTCCGGCCCTCGTTGACATAGAAAACTTTCTGTCAACAACTCTAACTGCCTTGACACTACTCCCCAAGCTACGCCACGCTCCATTCCCCATTTTCCTTCCTGCGCCCTGGTCTTCAATAATGACAAACTTAAAACTTAAACAATTAATGCCACGTCCACGACCTCAAACTAAATAAAAAAAAAGTTGGTAAATGGTTAGCTTACTTTTGAACAACGAAGTTTGCATGCTCTTTGGAAGCAAAACAACACAGGCACTCCTGGAAATTCATTTCTGTGCTTTTGTTAACGAAAATTCCTTAAGGCTTGTCTCTCAAGCTTTTTGGGCCTTTCTCGGAGCTTCTCATAGAGTTCACTTACTAGGCATCCCAAGATGGGAGAGTTTCAAGCTATCGCTTAAATTTTGAACCACTTGACTTAGCTAAAAATACAAGTTTCAGAAAGTGTATAAAGGGTACTTACCCGGGATCATTGGGCACCTCCGAGGGCGAGCAGGGTCCCAGCTCCACTTGCTGCTGCTGCTGTTGCTGCTGCTGTTGCTGCTCAATCTTGATGTCCATGTTGGGGTTTTAACTTGGGATTGAGATTGACTGGAGTTCGAGAGCTGATGCTTGGGGAAGCGGGCTGTTGTCTGGGCTGTCTGCACGGCTGCTACTCTATAATTGTTGCTCCAACGCCTTCTGCTTGCCGGGCATCGAGAACTGCGCGGGGAGGCCGAGTGGTTCCGTGTGTGTTGTATGGTTGTTGTGGTGTGTGTGAGAGTGAGTGTTGGCGTGTTGTATGTGGTTGTGGACGGGGGATGCTGCTTCTACAAGTTGGCTAACAAAGTGTTCCCTTAATCATTGGCCACATTGGCTGCTAGTTGGCTATTCGATTGGCTCCAGGATTCCTTGATTTCCATTTGGCCTGTCTTTTGCTTTTCCCCACGATGATTTTTCACTGATTTTGCTTTTGCTTTTCCCTTGGGTTTGCTTTTAGCTTTTGGCTTTGCTTTTTTGCTAACAATTGTGTTTGGTTACATTGCACACTTTGAATCACATTTCTTGGTTGTAGTTTTTGTTGCTTCGGTTTGCAGGCCACTTTTGGTTTGATTATTATTGTTTATTTATTTTGTTTTGTTGTATTTAATTAAAATTTTGGTATTTTTTAATTATTATTTGGTATTTAGGCTTCAAGTTTTAGAAACGTTGCGTTAACTTTTGTTGTTGGTTTTTCAATTGATTTAAAGGCAACATATTACGGCAAAGATCTGTTTTGTTTTGTTTTCGGGCGAAAAATTAATTAAATTGCAATTTTAAACTTTGCCAGGGGAAACTTTTTGAAAAGGCAATTTTCCTTCCTCCGTCCCTTTCACAGCTGCTGCTGTGATTTTCCATTTACCCAATATATCCCCCCCCTTTTATCCTCCGCAAACCCCCGTAAAATGCAATGATTCGCAACGAACAATCGTAAAATGCAAAAAAAAAAAAGAAAAAATAATGCAATGAGAGAGTAGAGAGTGAGTGGGCGGCAGGTGTAGAGGACAGGCGGTGGCATTGGTCAGGAGGAGTGCGAAAGTGACGGCTGAGTGACAATTGTGATGCTGTACGGGAAAAAGATCTTCGCTTCAAAATAAATTCTCCAAACTTTAACGTCAAATGAATTTATCCAAATTAGCCTTAGGCAGTCATAGTCTATGACAATAAATTAATAAATTTAATTATAGGTACTCAAAGTCACTCAAAGCAATCGAAACTAAACCTATTTAAATTCATTAAAATTTATGACATTATGACTACTAGTTTTTTTAAAGTTTGGATTAATTTTTAATATTTGTTTTACGTTAAACATTTTGTTCCTGTAGTTTGCTTATTATTAAAAATTATGCTAAAGTGTTAATTATCTATAAACATGTTACAATTTTAACTATTTATAAACTTTTTATTTGTTTATAAATGGTAGTCAACTTAATTTTTTTATCAAACTTAACTTTTTTTGTAATTAATCCGATACTTTAATTTCATTCTTGAGAACAGCTGAATATTAAACAACAGCTTATAGATAATTAAATACCTTCTTTAATAATATCTAAAATTGCTTAATAACTTAAAAAAATGTCTATTTTCCTATTTTTTCTGGAATTTTGTAATTAAATAAATATTTATTACTTGAAAAATAGAAATAATTATTGATGATAGCGTACGATTTTTATGTGATTCTTTTTTTTTTATTTGGAAAAAAGGCCCAAAATGCTGGCAACCCATTTTTATTGCTGGGAACTTTTTGTTGTTAATGCCATTATTTGCCGTTGCTTTCTCCCTCTCTTCTTTTTAATTCTCCCTATTTGCAACTTTTTTTTTGTGCTTTTTTTGCATTTGCTTAATACGCGCCTTGATCTTTCGCACACCCACAATTACAACAACAACAAATTATAGAAAGAGCGATAGAGAGGGGAATAGATAGAGAGAAGGAACATTGCATGCAGTGACTCCTCACCAAAAACAAAAACAACAACAGCAATGTAATAACGCGCAGCATGCAAGCTTTCACAAACAGCCACTCAAACACACACACACATAAACGATTGCCCGTAGAGCTCACACACACGCACACTCATAAAGGGAACATGCACCGTTACAACGAGAGCAGAAGTTAACTGGCGGCAGCAACAAACACGTGACCCGACAATTGCGACAATTGGCAGCACAAAATAAACGAAAATAAAACAAAACAAAAAAAAAAGAACAGAAAATAAACGAAAATAAAACTACGGCCGGCTAGTGATCTCCGATAGAGGGCACCTCTCCATTGATTGCTAATAATCGAAGTTCCCGTTATGCTGCCAACAGCCATTTTGTATGAGTGATCGCAAAGCAATTCTGATTGGAACCAGGAAAAGTATTTATTTCGATTTTTGTTTGAAAGGGCAATTATAATATCCGTTTATATAATAAATTTATTAATTATATATAAATTATATATTTTTTAAAATTTCAGCGATCAACGTTTTCTTTGCGTCTTGACTTAACAAAATCTTTATATTATAAACAAAATTAATAGTTATTTAATTACTTTATTCTCTTTTTATAAAGAATATTCATAAACCTAAAAGATCTCTGATAACTTTGCTCTCTTTCTCTTCCCCTGATTTTTCCAATCAGAAATAATTTTGCCGGCCGGCAGCCATTTTGCGGGAAAGATCAACAACAAAAGCAGCTGGAAAGCTGATTGGGAAGGAGGAATAAGGAGCGCAAAGGAGGGGTCTTAACTTTTCCCATGCACTTGTTATTGTAGTTGTTTGTAATTGTAAATCGAATGCCGCGCACTTTTATTTGTTTTTCCTTCTTTGTGTTTTGTTTTTATATTATATTATATAATCGTCAAATTGCACTCCACACAGCCATCGAGGTAAACAAAATGCAAAATGCCCGCTCTGTTCGGGTGTATATCTCGTTAACTATTCTTTCGTTATTTCTATTATTTATTTCTTGTGCGCACGTGTGTGTGTGTGTTGCACGCACTTCACGGGAACTCAGAAATCGGGACTCGACTCGAGTGGAGGAAAATACGGATTGCAATTATAGTGCAACGACGACGACGGCGGCGGCGGCGGTGGCGTTGATTTATTTTCCCTCTGTGCTGTTTTTCTTATTTTTTTTACAGTGCGCGCACACGAACGCGACAACCAACAAGACGACACTGAGAAACAAGACCCCAAAACACAACTAACGGCCCCAAACGACCGGCGGCAGCGACGCCGGCTTCGCCATGCTGCACTCTCTGGCGGCCGCGTGTTGTTGCCTTCCTGAGCAAAGCTTTGCGCCGACCGAGATGCCGGCTGCGACGTCGATGGTGGCAGCGGCAGTTGCACTATTTACCGGCCTGCAGCACATGGCGCATGTACTTCAGCATCACAGCTGATAAGTGATAAGGCCGCAGAGTGGCCAGTGAGAGAGCGCGCGAGAGACCGTTCACTAAGCGAGAGAACATTTCGCACAAGGAGCGGCGCACTCTCTTAAATGCCAACGAGCTTTGGAAGCTTACACTGCTCGAAGGGGAAGTTGGTTTTGAGAAGTTGCGTATACGCAATATCACGTATACGTAATATAATATTTCTTTTACAAAATATTGTATGAATTTATAAATTTATGATGTGAAAGCTGACATAGGATATTTATGTCTCTTTCTCGATTTCTCTATTAATCACAACCGTTTCTCTCTCTCTCTCTCTCTTTTTATATAAATATGTATTTCTATTTCATTATTATTATTATTATTATTACTATCCCTCTCTCTATTTTCTTACATTTATCGTTTCTCATATCGCTTTCTCTATCTCTTTTTCTCTGTCTCTATAAAAATTTCTATATTTCAATCTCTTTCTCTCCTTATTTCTCTCCAATTGCCTCTTTTTCGCTAGCTAGCTCTATCTTTCTCTCTCTCTCTCATTCTCTCTATCCATCTCTCTCCTTTTTCTCCACACACCATAAATAGAAGCACGATCTTTGCACCAGCATCAGTATATCGGCGGCCCTTTTCCATAGTGTGGTGCTGTCTCTTCGACCTTAAAAATATCACTTGGTCAACTTAACACATCCGGACAACCTGGAGACTTCCTGCTTTACTGGAACTTTGATAAATGGGTGTCGTCTACCTCGGTAAGTCTTAGCCAAGACTATTATATCCTTTATATTCTATATTAAGCTGTATGCCTTCATTAACTTAAAAAACAATAACTTATTCTTTTTATCAAATTTATTTGGTGAAAACTCTACAATTGTAAGTCACTTTAATATGCGTTTTATTGTGTCGTTTAACTATTCAATAATTATCTAAACAAGATATTTACCTCCCTTTGGTAATACAAATTCAGTGAATACGGAAAGGTTGAATTTTGCTTGAACTCTTAATAAATAAAGGTTTCAGAAATAATATGTATACTTTAAATTGGATTATTCTGGAAAGGGGACGTTTAATTTTTAGCTTTTTTGTAATGGAAAAGCGACGAACACAAAGAAGAAAACAGTTTATTAAAGAATACAAAGTCCTATCATGTTTTTCCGAATCTTTAATAAATTTCCCAAATAATTTTCGCATAATAGCATAATAACATCGTTTAATTTCGTTTTCCCACACGGTGAGGTTTAAACCATTTTATTGCGTTCGGAAAATACGGCATACGGGAAATTTTGCTCAACACTCGAACGAGGTATCCATTGGGGCAATCTTAAAATTAAGCAAAAAACAGGGGTGAATGCGTCATGGAGACTGGAGCTCCAGGAGCTATCGCAAATCCGGGGAACATTTCAGGAACACAGGCGTAGGGCAGCTCAGCTCCGATCGGCGCTAAGTATGGGGGGATGACAACAGAGACACCCTCGAGCACTCCACACTACTCCAAACTCCTCCGCAAGCCCGTACCTAACTATTCTGGGCAGTCACGGGCGGTGTTGCGGGCGGCGTACTGCCGGCGTCCAGGGGCTGTGCGCGCTCCTTCTCCTTGTTCCAGCTCTTCAGACCCTCGGGCAGACTGGTGTCCTCCTCAAAGGAGCCGGTGCCCTCGACGAACTCTTCGTACGTAGACTTCTCCTTGAAGGGACGCGGGCCGAGCAGCTCGATCATGTCGTCGCGGCTGAGGACCTCATTCTGAAGCAACCGTTCCGCCACGCGTCGCACGTCTTCTTTATGCTTGGTCAGCAGACTAGTGGTGGCCTCGTGAGCGCACTTGATGATTGATCGCACCTCGCCGTCGATCATCTGGGCGGTGTCCTCGGAGTAGGGTTTGCTGAACACCGGATCGCCGGCCTGGCCGACATCGAAGCTGACCCAACCCACCTTCTCGTTCATGCCGAAGCGCACCACCTGCGAGTACGCGATGTCGGTGATCTTCTTCAAATCATCCTGGGCACCGGTGGTGATGCGATTGAAGAACAGCTCCTCGGCCACACGGCCGCCGAGGGTCATGCACATGCGATCGAACAGCTGGTCTTTGGACAGCAGATAGTGATCCTTTGGCAGGTACTGGGCGTAGCCCAGGCCCTTGCCGCGCGGGATGATCGAGACTTTGAGCAGGGGATCGGCATGCTCCAGAAACCAGCCGGCCACTGCATGGCCAGCCTCGTGATGGGCCACCGTTCGCTTCTCTTCCGGTGCCAGGACATTTGTCTTCTTCTCCATTCCGGCAATAACGCGCTCAATGGCCTGTTCGAAGTGCTTCAGGACAATCGAGTCCTTGGAGTCACGGGCCGCGATAAGAGCAGCTTCATTGCACACATTGGCAATATCGGCGCCTGTGAAGCCAGGCGTGAGGGCCGCCATCTTTCTGCTCAGCTCGTTCTTGTCCAGCTCCGTCTTCAGGTTACCCAGATGCACCTTGAAGATGCTCGCCCTGCCCTTGATATCGGGCGCCGGAACGAATATCTGCCTATCGAAGCGACCGGGTCGCATCAGAGCCTTGTCGAGAATATCCACGCGATTGGTGGCCGCCAGCACCACCACATTCGTTGTGGTATTAAAGCCGTCCATCTCCACCAGCAGTTGATTCAGTGTGTTCTCCTGCTCCGAATGGCCGCCGAATGTTTTGCCACCACGTTTCCTGCCCACGGCATCGATCTCGTCGATGAAGAGGATGCAGGGAGCGTGTTTGCGGGCCATGGCGAACATGTCGCGCACACGAGAGGGACCCACGCCCACGAACATTTCCAGGAACTCGGATCCCGACACTGTAATAAAGGGCACATTCGCCTCGCCGGCAGTGGCCTTGGCCAGCAGCGTTTTGCCCGTGCCAGGTGGACCCGTAAGCATGGCTCCCTTGGGTATCTTGGCACCCAGATCGATATACTGCTGAGGGTTCTTCAGGAAGTTAACAAACTCCATGATTTCGATTTTGGCCTCTTCGCAGCCGGCGACGTCCCTAAAAAGGGCAATATACGGGTATTATTTTACATTTTATATTAATCAAGAAAATCAGCATCTACTCACTTGAAGCCCACACCGATTTCGGTGGGATTAATCAGCTTAGCAGTGGACTGCATGACGCCGCCAAAGAGGCCGCCGCCCTTCCGTCCACGCCCGCCGCCCATCATGTCCGCCGACTTACGCATCATGTAGACAAGAAAGCCGATGATGAGCAGCGTGGGCAGAAGACCCGTCAAGCTCGCGGCCTCTACCTCGTTCCTATAGATGACGGGCACAAAGTTAATGGACTCGGTGCCCTGCTCCGTCTGCGCAGTCTCTAAATTACGTTCGAAGCTGTCAACGCTGCCGATGTTGAACCAAAGGACACCGCCGCCGCTGTTGCTATTCTGCTGGAGTCGCACGCGTACCCACTTCTTGTTGACAACCTCCAGCTTCTCCACAATGCCCTTGGAGAGGTAGCTATTCATTACAAGGAAAAAGTAAATAAAAGCATTGTAAAGTAAGATCATTCCAGAAGAATTCCCACTGGAACGGGTGGCTGGTTACCGCACCTGTTGACGAACTCCTTCCAGGAGATCTCCTTGTAGCCCATCTCGAAGAAGGCAAACGAACCGAGCAGCACCACAGCTCCTATGGCGCCCAGCAGGATCCAGCGCTCCCTATCGCCGCCGCCACCTCCTTCGCCCAGCGGCCTGCCGCCTGGTGTATTGCCAGATCTCGCTGCCTTTGTGCTATTGCTAAACATGCCAAAATTCCAGTCCGATTTAGACTCCGTCGCTGACCTGGAGGGCTTCGCGACGCTCGGCTTCTCTGAGGCCGATTTGCTGTTGCTGGCTCCCGTTGAGGGCTTCTTTTCGCCGGCGGCGGATCCTTTGGGCTGACCCGCGGGCGACTTGCCGCCAGCCTCAAAATACTTTTCGAATCCCTTGGGGGGCTTCTTGCAAAACATCTGGATCTGTTTGACAATGTAGCGGAGCAGAGGGTTCAGCTCCGCGGGCAGTATGTAGACCCCTGCCCCGGTGGCTCCTGTGGGCAGAGCTGAGGCTGAGCGTTGCACCTGAAAATGCAGGGATATTTAGCGCCAGTTTTTTAATGTTTAGTCATTCAGAAGCCCTAAGACGTTAACGCTCAACTGAAAGGGCAGTTAGAAACTTGGTGGGAAATTAGGAAGAAGTGAAAATTTATAATAAAATATGGAATTAAAATGAGAAAGAAAAACAAAAAACAAATTTCCAATTCTGTGTGTAGCTTGTCTGAACCCTAACTTTGACCGACAGTTGAGCAACTGGCGCCTTAACTCGGCATGAAGGAACCGGCAATTACTCCAGCCTCCTCCTCGTTTGACCACAAAAAACCCACCTTTTCTGTGAGAGGTCCTGTTGTGTAGCCGCGCCGCATTACGCCGGCCAGCATCTTGGCCGTGCCAAACAGCCGGAATGCCATGACTCCGCCGGATTTTCGCTGCTTTTCGCTAGGTTATTACCCAACGATCAGATCGGAACAGCTGCTCCACCTGCACCACACCTCTCACGTTGATACAATTTTGGCCGGGAATAAGGCTATCTCAAACTGGGAGTCAAAGTCGCCGCCTCGCACACCGTGTCTCGTTTTGGAATTTTTCCAAATATATCGGTCGAAAAAATGTGTGAAAACTTTATTATTATTACGCGGTGCGGGATTGTGAAATAGAGCTGCCAAAAAAACGATGACACTATCGATATAATTAGAATCACTATCGATTGTAATTAATTTGAATAAAAAAATATGAAAACCTTTTAGAAAAACTCTTTTCTTTTCCAAAATAAATACTTCACAGATAAAAATTTTTTAATAATTTTCGCCATGGACAGAGCTGTAGAAAATCAGTTAACTAAAGATAAATTAATGTTAGATATTATATTTAATTCAATTTTTTAAAAATTAATTTCAATTTATTGTTTTTCCTTTGGAGGACTTAAGACTATGACTGACTGCTAAACTCATTAAATATTTATGATTCATAAAATTTTTGTATCATAAATACGATAGGTGGCAGCGCCAACAGCCGAATCGTGCACTTTCCAGCACTGGAATTTAGCAGCCGGCCTTCTCGTTGCTAGAGATGGACTCATGTCGTAAAGTCAACACTTATTTAAAAAATGTAATTTCATTAAAAATAATATATTAATATTAATATAATTATTAAATAATTTTATGTTTTGTTACTTACATAGTTTAAAAAAGTCTTGGTACTTTAAGTGTGACCAGTTGCTATGGAGGCTAAAATCCGTCTGATGTTCAGCGAACTTACGAGTTTCAAGTACCAGGTCACACTGCTCTACTCGTTGCGTTGTTGTCGTGTGGTAAAAAAATTTGGTTGAAAAAAATCTTTTGGCTTCGAATAGGACAATTATTTAACTCGAATTCGGAACGAAAATATGCTGAAAATGTGCCGCAAACAGTGCTGTGATGATTGAACATAAAAAGTGTCCGAGAAACAAGGTTTTTAGCGGCATAAAAACGTTTTTCCTGTTTGCCTGCTGCCCTGCCTGTACTTGCGTGTGTTAGTGTGTGCTTGAGGGGTACAAAAATTTGCAGCCCGAAAAAAAAGTTGGGTGAAAAACTTTTTTTACCAACTTGGCACTTGGGTGAATGTATGTGTGTGTGTGTGTGTGCGTACAGTCGGCTGCTAAATTTACGCAAAACCACAACAAAAATGTGTAAAAATAATTTACAATTGCAATTGCGTGCGTGTGCTTGTGTGCGTGCTTAGTGGCCGGAGGGTGTCTGTGTGCGTGCAATTTTTTCCGGCAGGCAAAAGTCTCTCCATTTGCAACACTGAAAAATCAATAAAACTGCAGCAAAAAGAAAAAACAGTAGATTTCACCATTCGAAAAAAGCCGAACAGAAAATAAAATAAATAGGAAACAGGAAAAAAATTGAAAATTTTCGCCTAATCGTTTATACCTTTCTCTTTTTTCCGCAGCTTTTGTAACTAAAACTCCGTTTTGACATCACTTTCATCATAATCTGAATAAAAATAATAATAACATAAAAATACAAAACAAAAAAAAAATGAAATAAAAATAAATAAATAAAACACCATCGAAAACGAATCAAAAAATAATACATACAAAATAAATAAATCGCAAATAATTGAAAGTTACAGCAAAGAGAATCTAGATAAAGAAATCCAACAAAACAACAACATAGCTCAAAAGAAAGGCGAAAGGAAAACGCGAAAGATTCTCTGCCATCAACTTTTTCTACGTTTTTTTCGGACTCTTCTTCGTTTTCTGTTGTTTGCTTTGCAAAGAAAACACACAAAAAAATAAATAATACGAAACAAGAAAGAAAAAAACAAAAAGCAAAAACGAGAATTTTTACGCCGCCGCTTTCGAAGTGGACCCCCGTGGGTGTGAGCGAGACAGAAAGGCGTAGAGAGAGGGAGCGAACTAGCCGGAGAGAGGGAGATAAAGCGACTGCGCAAAAAAAATAAAACAAGCCAAGCTTGAAACGAAGACTTTCAAATAAAACAACAAAACCAACAACAACAACAAAACAAACCAAACAAATTGAAACGCTGTGAAATTAAAACTCGTCAATACTCAAAGCACCAACAAATAAAGATAAAAACGCGAAACAACTACAAGGAGAAGGAGCAAGTAAAGCGGAGTTGATGTCAAAACAAAAACAAAACCATCAAGAAAACAACAGCAAGCACTGAGAGAAAAGAAACAAAGCAACGGGAAATAAAACGGCGCTGCGGCGTTCGAAAAATCTCGAATATAAAACGGTAAAACAAACTTTCAAAAAACAAAAATCAATCCCAAAATTCCTCATTATTTTTCCTGAAAGCTTTAATTTAATTACGAATTTTTTTGATAAGTCAAAGTGAATTAAATTTGCTAATTATTTAAAAATTAAGACAACAACAAAACTAAAACCCAATAAAGAGAAGCTACAAAAGCAGCAACAACAACAAGCAAAACAAAACAAAACAAATAACCAACCAACAACAAGCAACTGAATTAATGTTTTAAAGTACAAAATAACCGGGAGTAAATCAACAAACAAATAATTTAAACATATTAAAAAACAATTTAATTTAAAAACGCAACATCAATCTAAATTATTTAAACAAAAACACTGATCTAGCCTCTAAGTCGAAAAACAAAACAAAAACTCTGAAAAACGGACCCAGAAAAGGGGAAGTGAGAGGAGTGAGGAGAACGGAGCAGAATAAAACCGATTAAGCAACAATTGTGCCGCAAAAAAAACCGTGTGAATATAAAAAAACAAAAAAATTAAAAATATATACTAAAATATTAACGGTAACAATAAAGAAAACATTTAAAACCAAAAATCTACAAGAATTCTATAAGTTTTAAGTCACGTTTTACACAGACCTACAACAAGAACAAACGGAAACACAAAAGCGAAAAACGGAAACAACACCAGCAACTTAACTTAGCCAATAACAAATAATACAAAATAAAAAGAACAACTTTTTGTACTGTACATAAGTAAAAGAAATAAAGCCCAGCAATAGGAAAAAATAAGCAAATAAATATATTTAGAAAGAAAACTGCGGCCTTGCGGCCAAAGAACAGTTTTTATTTTTACAACATAAACATTGTTTTTTAGTAGTTTTCAATTCATTTTTTTTATAAGTGTACCTAGTGAGAAATGTTAAAAGTCTTAAAACAGCAAAAGCAACACTGCAACAAAAAAGGGAAGTAAAGAGACAAAAGAAAACAAAAACAAAACAAATTCAAAGAAAGATTTAACAACTCTGTGATAATTACTGTAAATTTATAAATTTAAATAAAAAAGGAGAAAAAAAACGCAAAGAAAACCAACAAAAAAAAAAACAAAATCTCTAAATGGAATGAACGGATAAGCGGTAATTTTTAAACAATAGAAACGAAAGCAGGAGAACGAGAAGAGGAATGCTAAAAACATCTTAAAAACCAACAACAAAACAACTTTACACTTAAGAGCAAATGCAAATGAAAAGATAAAAAAAAAACATTGAAACAAATTCGTGATATCTTAAAGGACTTCGATACATATATACTATAGTATATTATATATTATATTATATAAACTATTAAACTAAGCTTAAATCTAGTAAGCGAAAACCGAAAACAAAATCATGGAATAAGTGAATAAAAACAAAATAACAAACAAACAACAACCAACCAACCAACACAAAGCAAAATAAAACCCTAGGTTATAAAAAAAGACTTCAAAACGCATTCAAAAATATATATATTTAACTAAAAACAAAAATAAATCGTAGCATTAAAGTTCAACATAGTAAATGAGAGGAGGATACACTCAGCATAACGGGTAAATCCTACTATATCTATTATATATAAATGAAAAAGCCGTAAAACTCATACTTTTTTGCTTAGTGAATAGTAAATGAAACAGCAATAATAACAGCAACCGAAAACAACAAACAAAATATATACAAATCGTGCAACCGAAAAGTAATAGCAACGTACAGCGAAACTAAATAGGAAAGGAAACCGAGGAAAGGCTAGTCCCGAGACGAACAGGAAGCGAAAGAGGAGCCAGAGGAGCGAACAGAAGCAGGAGAAAGCCAGGAGAATCAAACCTCGTCATCGTCCCCCGTAAAAATCGTCGTTGTACTAAGGGTATTCGAAAGTAAATTATAAATAAATCACTACTACTTCCTAAAAACCACAACGATTGCCTACAAAATATATATTATATATATGTATACTATATAGAAAACAAAACAAACAAAAACAACCAATATAATCACTTCCCAAAAAGCAAAAACACACAAAATATTCAAATATCAAACGAAAGCTAATCTAACCCAAAAGTAAAAGTATTCCCAGTGTATTTTTCTAGTAAAACTAACGTAAAATATATTACAAGAAAAACGAAAAAAAAACCAAGTTTCAACAAGCAAAATGCAATAATTCAATAATATTTCAAAACTCAAATTGCAAATAAATAAAAAACCATCACCAACGGCAGCAGCTGGTATGCATTTTCATCGTAAAACAACAATATTTTGAATACACAAAAATATAAGAAATTAAAAACCTACAAAACAGACCCAGGAAGGAACTTCAAACTACCAAAACAAACCAACCAACAACGTTACAATATTTGTCGGCATTTTTTACAAAACACACAACAAACAACAAGGAACACAACCAACCAACCAACAGAAGGGAGGATAGCTGAGGAAAGCAACAATTTTTTTGTGTGGGACTCACATGTCCTCGACAAAAGACAAACATTTTTATTAACTTCGAAGACAAGGAATTTCAGTGCCTCTTGTGCCAGTGTTTAGCCAAAATATATATACACAAAAAAACAAAACAAACAAAAAAAACGGAAGAAAACATTAAACAACAAAATACGTATTTATTGCTTAGTTTTTTCTCTTTGATATAAAAAATACACAAAAAATTACAAAAAAAAGAAGCAAGTAAATAAAAAGAATACCTTTAAAGTGAGTGAATAGAGATCAACAATCTCTTTTTTCGGTCAAACTTCAAACTTTAACCCTCGTTCCAATATCATCGTTCTCGTCGTTCGCCTCCATTTATCGTGTTTAACCAATACAATACAATAAAGCATAAACAATAGCAACAATCGCTAAGAAAACCAGTCTCCAATTTGCTAGTCCTTATCAGCATTTCTCTTTGTTTCCTAATAAATCTGATCAATCAATTCAATATGAATACGCAATCGAAGGTTTACCGCACAGGCGAAGGTGAGTAGTCGTGGAATCTTCTACTTTTATTTATTTATCTTTTAAGCTGTAAGAAATAGCTACATAAATTTACGGTTTCGAGAACTCCATTACATGTGTATCTAATATCTTATATAATATTTTAAAAAGCTTTAAAATGTAACTCCACAAAAATTAAAGTCCTTACCATTAACTCTGATCTTAGCACCAGGTATCTTTTAAGTCATTTTTATGTCAGTTCATTTTTTCAAATACCTAAATCTAAATTTTATGTTGTTCTTGTATCACAATATTCTGTAAATTTAATATTACTTTTAACCACCAATTTAACACGATATAGAATACAAACAATGTTTAAAGAGTTTTAATATTCTTTGCATTATTAGGGGTAATTTTGTTCTTTCTTAAAGAATGAGTTTGTTTGATTTCATGTTTCATTTCAGTATCAATTAAAGTTCTATTTTCTTTTCCATTATGATATATGTATTATACTTTAATGTATAACACTTTTACATCCGCAATAATTATGTTTCTCTTCCCTTGCTAAAATAACAATACAGAGATCTACGACAACTTGCCATGCGATGGTGGTTATTTCAACATGAATGCCATTCGCAACCTGGGAATCCCCACTACTTTTCCGACAATCGGAACCTTTACGCTTGACTCCACCACATTGGGATTGCAGCCACAGGGCCAGCAGCAGCAGCAGCAACAACAACAGCAGCAGCAGAATATGCATCATCATCAACAACAGCATCAGCAGCAGCAGCAGCAACAACATCAGCAGCATCAGCACATGCAGCAGCAGCAGCAACACCAACAGCAGCAACACCAGCAGCAGCAACATCAGCAGCAGCAGCAGCAACAACAACAGCATCCTACCATCGGGATGTTCGATGCCAACGAGGTGAACGATGTGATCCAGAATCCGCCTCAGATTGGCGTTTTCCAATCCAATAGCGTTTTGACCAACGGAGCTGGGAGCTCCTCCTCTATCTTTGGCTCCCAGTCAAGCAACTCTTCGGCCGCCGCTGCCACGGATCCCAGCCAGGCCACCCGGGAAACTGGCATTATTGAGAAGTTGCTGGTGCGTTTGAGCAATTTGAAAAAGAAGGGAACTTTCACTTGACCGCGATTTCTATTTTATTTCTACTTTTTTTGCAGCACTCCTACGGGTTCATTCAGTGCTGCGAGCGACAGGCGCGTCTCTTCTTTCACTTCTCACAATTCAGCGGCAATATTGATCATCTGAAGATCGGAGATCCCGTAGAATTCGAGATGACATACGATCGCCGCACAGGCAAGCCGATAGCTAGTCAAGTGTCCAAGATAGCCCCAGAGGTTGTACTATCCGAGGAGCGGGTCACCGGCACTGTGACCACCGAGCTGCGCACGGATAGCGCCAACAATGTGCTCAGCTCCAGCGAGACCACCGGTCGGATCAGCTACGAAAATCGAGGCGAATGCTTCTTTCTACCCTATACCAAAGACGATGTCGAGGGCAATGTAAACTTGCGGGCTGGCGACAAGGTCAGCTTTCAAATCGCAACGAACCAAAGGTAAGACCTTATCCTAATTTATTTTTAAGCAATATATAAGAATATATATAAATAACAAATAATATAATGTGATTCAAAAACGATTTAAGCTATTACTTTTTTCCTAATTTCTTAATTATTCTACCCATTACAGAGGTAACCTGGGCGCCTGCCATATTCGCCTGGAGAACCCAGCCCAGCCGGTCAAGTATCGTGGTGTTGTCTGCTCCATGAAGGAATCGTTTGGCTTTATTGAACGCGCCGATGTGGTGAAAGAGATCTTTTTCCATTTCTCAGAGGCCGAGGGCAATGTGGAACTGCGTCCCGGTGACGATGTCGAGTTTACCATACAGACCCGGAGCGTAAGTGGCAGCGGTGATCCGGCCAATCCGCATCTTCTCCAATCGAAAATGCAATCGCCCTCGGTACCGCCGCAGGGCCGTGAATTTGCGTGCAACATCACGCGTCTGGCACCGGGATCGGTGATTTTTGAGGACGTGGACAGCACTGTGTACAAGGGCCAGGTGCTCAAGTCATTGGATCGCAACAATCCTGTGCGTCAGAACAATGATCCGTTGCCGGGTCGCATCCGATACAGGGCATTGGATTACTCGGAGGTGGAGGTACCGTTCGGGGACAAGGATCAAAAGGGTGACTTTACCCTGCGTCACGGCGACTGGGTGCAGTTTCTGCTGGCCACCGATCGTCGCGATCAGCTGCAGCGGGCTACCTCAATTGCCCTGCTGGACGAGACCTTCAAGGTGTCGGGCGAGAAGCGAGAACAGGGCACCATTGCCTCGCTTAAGGAAGGATTCGGCTTCCTGCGGTGCGTGGAGCGTCAGCCGCGACTCTTTTTCCATTTTACTGAAGTTCTCGATACGGTAGGAGTCATGATTTTGTCTACAAATATTTGATTAATCAAATTAAATGTAATTTCAGAGCCGTGAAATCGATGTCAATGATGAGGTTGAATTCACTGTCATCCAGGAGCCTGGATTGGCCTATAACAACTCGCGTTTGCAGGCCATACGCATTAAGCACTTGCCGCCCAACTCTGTGCAATTCGAAACTCTAATGGCCAGCAACATTGAGGGTAAGTAATCTCTTTGAACCTCAGTCTGGAGCTTAATTGATTCCCTTTGCAGGCTGCGTGACACGCGAGGCGCCCAAGAGCCCTATCAAATCTCAAGATCGCGTCGAAGGCGGTGTGATTACCTACGAGCATGCCGATGCTAAAAAGACTATAATGTATTTTCTTAAAGACTGTGAAAAACCACCAAGGATTGGGGAGCGTGTACGCTTCGATATTTACATAGTAAGTTTGAATTTAAAATGTAGACGACCTTTCTTAACGTTTCATTAATTTTCGCCAGGTCAAACGTAACAAGGAGTGTATAGCCGTCAATGTGCAGCAAATTTCGCTGCAGCAACAACAGCAGCAGCAACAACAACAGCAGCAACAACAGCTGCTGTTGAATCAACCGAATGCCAGTGGTAACATCAACCAGAACGAGCAACTGTCGAATGGAATAAGCGGCAGCAGCTCTAACGCCTCGCTGCAAAATGGCTATGTGATGCACGGCAGCCCCGGCGGCAGCACCAGCAGCAGCGTGGGCAGCAACAATCCATCCCATTTGGACGATTTTAAGCTGGAGAACAACAACCATACCGGATCCGATGCCGGTCAGGTCTACCGTGGCTTTATAGCCGTCATGAAGGAGAACTTTGGATTCATTGAAACCCTGTCCCACGACGAGGAGGTCTTCTTTCACTTTAGCAATTATCTGGGCAATCCCAATTGGCTGGAGCTGGGCCAGGAGGTGGAGTACACTCTAGCCCGCAACGGGAATACATCTGTTTCGGGCAACTGTCTGCCCGCAGAGAATGTCCGTATGCTGCCCAAGAACTCTATACCGCAGCCAGCGGTGCTGGAAACCGTTCACAATGGCGTGGTGGCGCGTCCGCTGCGCTGCATTAATCCCGACCAGCAGGAGTATGCCGGTCTCATCGAAATACTCGACGAGCAGCGCACTACTGTCATCTCGCAGCACGAGTTTGGGATCACTAGTCTGGTGAATAAGCGGGATCTCCTCCAGAAGGGCGATCTGGTTAGTTTCCGCATCGACGAGAGCGGACGGGCGGCCGGCGTGAATGCAGTGCGGCAGAAGAAGCGCGCCACCGTGGATTCGATTAAGGGCCAGTTTGGATTCCTCAACTTTGAGGTGGAGGACGGCAAGAAGTTATTCTTTCACATGTCTGAGGTGCAGGGCAACACCGTTGCCTTACATCCCGGCGACACTGTGGAGTTCTCTGTGGTTACTAATCAGGTAAGTTGATCAGAGTTTTTGATGGTTTTTTATATAAATATCGAGGAATATCGATATTCTGTATATCAAAATTCGGGATTCCTAAAAGAGCACAAATTTAATTAAAAATAAATCAAAAAGTTGAACTTGGTACTTAATTTTTTCATGAGCTTACTTACGTATAGATCTTTTTTCGATTAAATCGATCTCGAAAATGTATATCGATGTATAGCATATCGATTATAGAATAGATTTTATTTCCAGCTCAACTACAACTCTACAGTGATATTTTTTTTTCTGGAATTTTTAATTTCAACTCTGTTCATGCTCTTTTCTGGCATAGTCAAACAGAATATCGATTTTGCATTAAATATCGATTTATCATCGATACATTGATATTTTCCATAATCCCCTACTTACAATATAATGCTATTTTCCTTCAGCGTAATGGAAAATCTTCGGCTTGTAATGTTCTAAAAATAAACGATCGTCCGGATCGTCTGATCTCGCGACTCAAGCTCAATGGCGATGACACTGTGCCGCGCTTAATACTCATCCGTGCGCCCAAGGGACCGCAGGGCAAGGGCTTCTCCGTGCTAGCACGACACCCACGCATTCCAGGTAAGCGAAAACCCCTTTGTTTCAATCGAAACGTTTTACTCAATACCAAATTTGTTGATTTGGCAGGCACCTTGGTGGAGTAGATTGCTGAAATGTTGGATATTAGAGGCACATCAAAGACAATTACCTACAGCAACAGCTATAAATATATATATATATTCTTGTACGCAAGCCAATCAACCAACTAACACAGCAAACCAAGCCACTTTATAACGAATATAAACCCCTAGAAGCATGCAACACACTATTGGAAACGATCGTAATTGATAATAGGAAGGCGTACATTTAATATTTACGAACTACTACTCTTCGTGTCTGATGAATCGGAAACTTATTTGTAATACTACCAACTAACTCTAGCCCCTCCAAGCATTGTAACGCTTTCAATGCGAATGGAAATTGAAATTCAAGTGTCTGAGAGATGGATGAAACCAAAACGTTTGTATACGTATACTATTTTTTACAAGTTTTGCTTTAGTTAATATGAGAACGAGGGGGAAAACAGGAGAGAAGGCAAGCAAACATGATATAATCTATGTGAAGTGAGGTAATTATTCTAGAATGGCAACGAAGAATCCTTGTTAGAAATTGTATAAAAACAACAGCAACTCTTTACATACGTCTATCTATTAGCTGGGATATGCAGTTCCTGCTTCTCTACTCTGTAACTTGCTCTAGACTCGTGCTCGTGTATTCTTTTGTACTTCTCGAAAACTGTTCTTTCACTGCTTTCAATCTAACTGTTAAAGATTTATACATATATATTTATTGAATAATTATTGTACTGCGGCAGCCAAGAATTAAGTAGAACCACAAACAGCAGCAGCAGCAACCCAGAAACCAATCAGTGGAGCGGACGAAGAACATGGAAAGTATTTATATGGCAAAACAAAAAGTCTAATTTGTATACATGCATATATATATATATCTTCACACGTACATACATATATATATATATATTTTACATATTCATTAACGTAACATACATAATATTAATGTTATTATTTTGTTTAATTTTTTTGAAACATTGCTTGCAAACCAAAAACCACACGACGTTGTTTCGCCAAAAAAAAACACTTCTTTTGTTGCATTCAGATGGTTGCATTAACTTATTACGTAACATATTATATATATGAAACATACAAGCTATACATCGTAAAATATTTATTTAAAACTCACCACAAGAAACCCGGATCGAGGAGAGATTGAAAAATTACGAAAACGTTTTGTGTGACGATGAAGAGCAAATTAAATTTGCTGCGCCAAATCTGTTGAAACCATTTAATGAAGATTATAAAAATAATTTTTAAAAAATCTATATATACGAGACAAAAATATTAAAAAAAAAAAAAAAATACAAAAAAAACCAACTAATATATAAAAACAAAAACCAAACCTTATGAGCGTGTCGTGTGTCGGTAACAAAGAGCAAATATTGTGAAAATTATGAATTTCAATTACTAAGAAAACAAAAACTAATGTAACAAAAAAAGAAAAAAAAAACCTTAAAAAAAAAATTTAACAAGCTAACAACAACTTTGGGATCAGTACGTCCTATTATAGCCATGTTATATACAACAACTACAACAGCAGAAACATCAACAAGAAGAACCTACACTAAGCAACACACAGACAAAAACATAAAAAAAAAAAACAGAACAAAGAGCAAGAGAAAATAGTAACTTTAATATTGTATAACGATTATACATCTAAATAAATCTAGATATATGCAGGGGCGGGTTGGGGGTAACCGAGGTTGACACACGCAGTCGTCGTTAGAGAAATGCCAAACGCCATCGCAGCAGCCGCAGCCCAAAAACCATTCGCAGAACGGCGGCTGGGCGTTTCGTCTCTCTTCAATGCAATGCAATGAAATGAGAACAGCACAGTAACTAAATCCTTATTACGAAAAACCAACAAAAACACAACATAAAAAACATTTCAAACAAAACTACAAACAAAAAAATCGAAAAACTCCACAAAAATGTAACAAAAACAACAAAAAATATATTTAAAAAAATACAAGAAAAATACATACATACATATGTGCTTGAATACGAAAAAAAAAATCGCAAACTATATAAGTCAAATAATACAACAAGAACAGAATAAATAATAAATACATATTTCAATAAACTAAAAAAAAATGGTTGTTTTAAATTTTTACATTTTATGTTTATTGGAATTTAAAGTAGAGAAATGTCAAAAATTTGGCAACGAAGGAAATCTCAAGTTTTAACCTAAAAGGAACTTGGGAGTCTATAAGAAAATATCCATTATATCCATTGACAGCTTCTCCCAAAACCTAGATCCCTTCCTTGGAAAAATAGCTTTGTATTTTATTTCTATAATAATAATTTGGTCGAGCATTGAATTTCAAGATAGAAGCTTGCTATCATAACTTATAATTCATAAGCCGAACTGATCGGAGGATGTACATATCGACGCATTTCCGCGAATGTATCGTATGTTGAAAAATCCAATTTTACAGGAGAAGCTTTTTTGTGATTTAATCTCTTAGGAAGCACTATAGAAAAGACAAAATTGAAACTTAATTTTTATCGGAACTATAGGTCTTTCAGTTATAATATTTCACAGGGTAGTGAGACATAAGGTGCCTAACAATTTTGCATTAAAATCTCAATTTCGAAAAAAAGCGACATGCGATACTTTCGCGGAAATGCGTCGATATATCGAAAAGGAAGATCCCATATCATACGATATTATGGAAAATATTGTAGTTTAAAATATGAAACCTCGAAAAGTAACCATATGATGGGACAGTTCCAGAAAGGGTTATTTAATTTATTTACCTTTGATTCGAAATCAAGTTTTTTTTTAGTAAATTAAATGATTTTTGGTGTGTTTTTTATCATGTGAGAATTTTTGTATTAAATAGTGCATATAAAATTCCCAAGTGCGCATTTAGTGACACTTTTTTTTTTCATTTTATTTTAATATTATCATCCATATGGGACAAGGGTTACCTTATATTTATTGCACTAATTGAAAAACTTTGATATATGGATTTATAAATTGACATTCCTGTGAAATATTAATGTAGGTTTTGTTTTTTTTTTACTCCTAGAGGAGCCGTATTTCTCAAAGGGCTGCTTAAGGATCTCTCTAATCAAAGGAGCTATGGATCTACAAGCAAACAATTATTAAAACCTTTATAAATCCTCACAGAAAATGTAAAAAAAATTTTCACTTTTCCTAATGAATCGCAAATAAGAGTTAGGAGTAAAATAAATGCTGATAAATTTTCAAAATAAAAGTAAATTTTTTGATCCTTTATCATAACTTTTATTTGCGATCCCTCTGTCTCCCCGTATGCCATTAAAGTCGTACAACACTTACAGTTTGGTTTAATTTTCCATTTTTTATTTATAAGAATAATTTATATCTGCTTAGATTGGTTTGGTTACATGACATGACTATGGTATGGTATCATCATTTGTTCACCGCCTCTCGCCTTAGACTCTCGTACGCTTCCTAAAACTTGACAGTTTATTGACTTTATCCCCCTCGTTATATATGTATACTGGGAGTTACAATTGGTTTTGCTTTCCGTTTGTTCTTATGCTGTATGCTGCTCTCTTAAAATCCAAAATCCTTTCGTTTTTCGTTAATATATGTACTGCCTATACTCGTATGTGTGGTTGAGGTTAGGTCAAATTACTTACGATTTAAACGCTTGCATTGATTTCTCGTTAGTGAATATATATTGCATTGATTTCGATTCGATTCGCACGTTTATCTTTAATATATATCGCCTAGGTATATATTTATATATATTTGTATACCACTTAGGTTTAGTAGATATATATACGAGTTATGGCAAAAAATTGTTTGTATTTGTTTGTTTGTTGTGTGGTTTTTGCGTGGGACTAGAACATTTGACATTTGACTTTTGAGGAATTTAAAAACCAACCGATGGACCATCGATTGCCATATACATATACATATACATATAAAGCCTGTAAAAAGGGATTCTCGTTAATACAAATTGAATTGTGATTATTTTTGTGTGGGGAGATTATAATTGATTCGATTCGAACTTACAATTACAATTACAAAAACGTTTCGAGCATTGTATAAAAAATCGAGGTAAACTTGATAGTGCATCGGATCTGGTTGGGTGTGTCCTTAGCCTGGGCTTTCGTTATCCTTGCTCATATTTGGTGTTAGGGGGGAAACTCAGGGTTCTGTGTTTTTTGGGGCGATCGCCGCCGCCGAAGGCATTTCATTTAATGGCTGTGTTCGATTCTGAATCTCCTACGATGGATTTGCTTCTTGGATGAAATGGGGGACTACTTATAGGATGGGCACATATGGGTGTGAAGGTGAACGAAAGCATTGTCGATCTAGCTGGGATAGAATATATATATAAACCAGATCTGACCTTGTCTTTTCTTGTTATCCTATACGAAGAGAGAGAGAGAAAGAGAAAATTTGAATTTGGGGTGGGCAAGTTTTTCCTTCCGGAACTGCGTATATACGAGCTATATTTCTTATAATTTCTGGTTGCTCTTAATAGGAAGAAGTTAGATAGTCTTAATTTTAAGTGTACATAGCTATATTTGATATCCAAGGGGTTGTGCTTAATTTTCGTATCTTATGTTTTTATTTTTATCTTTTTTTCGAACTGGGGGAAAACTTGAATTGCTTGTGCTGGCTACGCCAAGTAAGGGACTTCTTCTTAGGGCATTAATCATCTTCTCCTGGGGCTCATCGGCTAACTTAGCGTAACTACGGGGCAGGTGTGTGTGTGTGTTTGGGGGTGTGAATCTAAGAGTTAGGTGCTCCTAAAGCGACGATTAGTTTCCTTGATTTCAGAAAGAGTAATTTCTTGAGTTTTTTGTTTTTCCTTTAACAGTCGAACCTTCTCTAACTCATTTAAAAATGTAGTAACATCGTTGAACGACTGCATTTTTTACAATTATGTTTTTCTTTTTTTTATGCATATTTAATTTCCAAAACTACTTTTAATTAAACAATTTCTGGAAACACTCAAAAAGGCTTTTTGGTTAAAGAACCTAAAATATTAATCTTCTTGTTTCTTTATCTTATGTAAAACTAGTTTAAATATGGAATTTTACACAAGAAATTCGTTTAAAAAAAGGCCTTAATTTGTCTTGACTAAGAAATTAATACCTTTTACTACTTTACATTTATAATTTTAATTCAGAAAAGAGACTAATAAATCGAAAATATTTAAGGTAAAGTCGAATATTTTCACCAAATCCATAATGGTTTCCTTTTTTTGTTTTTAAATAACAACCTACACATAAAATTAAATAAAAACTAGTGCCAAATACCTAAGATTTTCCATTAATAAAATTAAATAATTAATTAAACAATTTTGTTTCGAGTTAGAGAAGTTCGACTAAAGAGATTTTGGTTGCTTTTGCTTCTTCCTCCCATCTAACAATCACTTCAGGCGCTGTTCTTGGAGACAAACTCGCGCAGGATGTCGCCGGCCATCTCGATGTTGTTCCGCGAGATCCCCAAGGCGGTAATTGCGTTCTCCTTGGAGTAGCCGGCATTCATCAGCCTGGCTATGTACTCCAGGTTTATGTTCTCGTAGGGCACGTTGCCGCAGTCTTTTTGATTGATCGTCACGTTCGCATAGAGCAGTGGCTGCTGGGATTGCTGTGCCTGTTGCTGGTGAGGATTGCCCCCATTGCCCGTTATCGGCCCCGCCTTGGACGCCGCCGTTGTCATCGTTGTGGTTTGGATTTGCTTGGGCGGCGTAGCCTTCTTTCCGTTGGCCAGAGCAGCTGCAGCAGCCGCTGCGGCGGTGCCACCACCACTGCTTGTGGTGCACAGTTGCGTGTAGTGCGAGGTGGCCGAGTCCTGTCGGGTCAGGGTGACACCTCGCGCCTCCAGGGGGCGGGTATCGATCACACCGCTAATAGTTTCCGCCGGACCCACCTCCACAATATCCTCATCGAGCAGGGAGAGCACCGGCGACGTGGTACTAGTGGCTATGCGCTGCTGTCGCATCAGATCCTCGGCCAAGGTGTCCACGCTGGGCGAGACATGTGGCGGAATCGGTGGCGCTGTCGTCTGGGGCGGCACGTTGTCCAAGCTGCACTGGATGTTGTCGATGCTCTTGCTGCTGCAGGGCGGCGGTGGCGGTGGTGCTGTGGCCTTGCTAGGCGTCTCCACGCCAGGCGAGGATTTCCTGGGCGGCAGCGGAGGAGCCACTGCTCCTGCTACTGATGGTCCCGCAGCCGCAGATGCTCCTGATCCTGATCCACCTGCCTGCGTTCCACTCTCCTGCAGGTTCTGCAGTATAGCATATGAACTCGTACTGGAGGCATTGTCGCTGGCGTTGCTGCTGCTGCTGGAGTTCGGCGGCAACTTATGACCGTAGGTGGAATTGGTCACACAGGATCCGATCAGGGGAGCACTCATCCGATTGGTGGTCTTCTGGCTGGCGCTGATCCCGCCTCCTCCTCCTGATCCTCCTCCGCCATTGCTCAGTACAGCTGAAGCCGGCGGAGCCGAGGGCTGCGGTTGCTGTTGCTGCTGGGAGGAGGAGGATGTGGTTGCTATTGCAGCTGCTGCTGAAGTGGAGGAGGAGGAGGAGGATGACGACGATGAAGATGAGGTGCCGGCAACGGAGCTGCTGGGCAGGCTGAGAGTGGGCGTCCCACCCGCATAGAGATCGTTTTGCACGGCCATCAAGCTGGGCGTGGTGCTGCGTCGTCCCAATCGCGGCGATGTGTGCGGACTATGCTTCTCGGCCGCTGCCGTCGCCGTCGAAGATGTGCTGAGTGCGTGCAGCGATGAGGTGGCTATGTTGAAGTCGCCCATATCCTAAACATATTTAGAAACAAAGGTCAGATTAATGCTTCTCTCCTAACAGTTCAGTTGGAGCCCAGGTATGGAATATTGCGTATTTTAAGGAACAGAAAAGGGTTTATAAAGTTTTTTAAGACAAAATAAACCGAATGTTTAAAAAAGGATTTAATTTAAATTTCAACAAGAAACAAATAAGTAAAAAATATAATTTATTTAATAATTATAAACTATTTATTTAAAATTGTATGAAATTGATCGATATATAAGCTTAGTTATAATCGATTTCAAATTAGACTTCAATTGTTATCGATAAGTTAATAATTCTGCACCATTTTAAAAGCAAATTTTCAGTAAAAGAAAGTTTTGAAAAATTAAGAAAAACCCTAGTCATTCGATATAACAATGTAGGTAGTAATCGACTATTACAAAATAACTTTTTTCTTAACGATTATTAATGCAGAAATCGAAACTATTTGGCTATCAATCTTTAGAACAAAAGAATTATATGAGAATATCGAAATGAGTCAAGACTGTGAGTTGATGTTCCATCTGAGCGTGAATCCAACCGAACTTTTGTAGAAAAACCTTAAGCAAAATAATGATTTATCTCGTTTGCTTTTCTTTTTGCCGATCAAAGAGCATGCCGCTGGCTTTTGGTGGAAATGCTGGGCATGCACATCTTCAAACAGAAAATCGTAGGGAAAATAAGAACAGGTCGCTAGTGGTAGATAAACAGAGCTAAATAAATATGGGGGAAAAACATAAAAGATCAATTCAAACCAATATTTAAATATTCGTATTAAGCATATATTTTGTTTTGTTTCAATTTTGTTTTTGTGGTTGTGTGTTGTTTTGTTTCGTTTTTTAGCCGTAAACTTATTAAGGAAATAAAAAACTAAACGCTAAAATGTATAAAAATTGCATTAAATGTATTAAATATATATATATAAATATATCATTAACGTATGTGTTTATATGTATGCGATCTGCTTTAGTGTTATGTTTAAATTAACGAAATGAGCCGAAAGATGAGTTATTGATTTCTAAATTTCTCTGCTAATACTTTTCGTTTATATATTTATATATTTTTTTTTTGTTTTAAATTATAAATTCCAATTTAATTTACATAAAATCTAACTAAGCTAGCTTTTTTGTTTTCTTTTCCTTTCATTGTTTTGTTGTTGTTAATATAATAAATTACAGTCTTAGGGCAGCCCTGTGGCTGCTTTACACGTAAAAATAAAACTGAATTGATTGATGGGTGGAGCGGGAGGGGGAAAGGTAATCGCACGCTACTACAAACTAAATGTATCTTTGGAAGTATTAAACAATAAAACTAAAATGAAATAAACACATAACGGAGTTAAATGAATGTAGGACCATGATTCTAAGAGATGCAAAAAATACTGCGGGATACACAGAAGAAAATCGGGGGAAATACAAGAGATAATACAGATAATCATAAATTCCATAGAGCCTAGTGCCTACTAGTATTATGTACAAAAGTGCAAACAATAGCGGATCGAACCGATTAAGTGTGATTCATGGACAAACGAACCAACGAACGAACGAACGGATGTGTAGATGGAGAGGAGTGATCGATAGAGAAAGAGTGAGAGCGTGAGAGAGGAAGAACAAACAACTAAGCGAACAACGCGCACACAGAACAAACCAACAGACCAGCAGCAGAGGAAGAGAGAGCACGAACGGAGGCTGATGAGCCACTTCCGGTCAAAGAATTTCAACTACGTTATGCTTGTGTATGTGTGTGTGTGTGCGAGTGGATGTGCGTGTGCTGCGTGTGTGTGAGTTAGTTGCATGAGTTTGGCTAATAATTCGTAATATATGTTACAGCTAAAACAAACAAAAACTAAACTCGAAAACTGCAACTGCCATCTCTGCAGGCTAAACATTAAACTTATATAAACAATAGCAGTTGTAAAATCTAAAATATATAATGTATATATATATAAACGAACCAAGGGTAATCATAAGAGTAATAATATATATATATATATATATAAATAGATAGCAGCACAGGCGGCAGCGGAGCAGGCGGATCAGGCTGATGATCAGGCTGTGAACAAAACTATACCTCAGTGTCGTCGTCGTCCAGCTGCTGCTGCTGTCGCCCATTGGTGACATTCCGGTTGTGCTGCTTGCGCGGATCGAAGGCGTCCACAACGATCTGTTCGGTGCCTTTGATCTCGGCCCGGCAAAAGGGACAGCCCTGCAGGAAAGCAAATTGGATTACAATGAGCACAACACCTTATAGGGCTCTGAGCTTACTTGTCCCTCGGAATCCACCTGCCAGGAGGTGAGGCAGGGCGTGCACAGCAAATGGCCGCAGGGCTCGATGCGTATATCCTTGTCGTTCTCCGCACAGATCTTGCACAGCTGAAAGGTGCTGCCTGCATAGCCCAAAAATAAAACAGTTATTAGTAACTTGAAGGAGCGATGGGAGCGCTTTCAACTCACCCATTTCACAGTATAGTTCGTATTGCTCTTGGGTTACGGTTATGTGGTCCTCGGTGGGACTTTGAACGGCCGACGACAGATCCGGATTGTAGGCTTGGCCATCCGGATACAAGTAAAAGCCCTCGCTGCAATCAAGAATTCCTATTACAGCCACAAGCAACATAAGACTAGTAGTATTACTCACCGGTGGCCATCGAGCAGAGCCTGGCACAGGGATTTGTTCTGTGGAATCGTCTGCAGTATCTCGCCCTCGGCAGTCACATAACCGATGGCCCACTGGCCTAATCGTGTGCAGGATAGCCGGAAGACATAGCTGCCCGCCTTGCCGATGTAACGCTGCAGGCGCGCCTTCACCTCGTCGTAGGTGAGGAAGGCCACATAGCCCGGATGGGTGACGGCCAGGATTTGCCAGTTGCGCAACAGCGTCACCCAGGGCTGGAAGAGTCGTGTGAACACGTCAAATTCAAAATTCGAGATGAAATCGTTGCAGGTTAGATCGATGGTGGTCTTCAGGGCCATTGCCTCCAAGCCGGAGGATATCGGGTGGACTTTGTTGAGTTCCTGCCGAAAGATCTTCCACGGAACCAATGTGCTGCAAGTAAGTGTAAGTAAATTATCATTAAAATACATTATATACAATATGTGTAAATAAATACATATTAATGGAATATTTTGAAGCAGTTGAAGTGCAAGATTGTCAATATTGTTATCGTGTCCACCGATTTTCAAAATTACATTTTTTAGGAGAGTGCTTTGAACTTTGTGATATTCATATACTGAACACCAAACGAACTTCGTTCAACTCTGCATAACTTCGTCAATTTTGCTATGATCGATGTACCCCATTAAATTTAATTCGAAATATTATGTTTAAATATAACCTAATTAGGTTAAATTACCAGCAATTTTACTGATAAAGAAAACATATATTTTCTGGCTTTCTAGTGTTTAGTATCTACAATTATCTGAAACCATAACAAGCTATTTAAGCCGGAAAAAACCGGTTTATGAGCCACTGAGATAAGAAAATTCATAGCTGGTGAAAAGATTTATGTCAAACTTTGTTTAAAAGAGACAAAATTGTCTAAGAAATGTCAAAAACAGAAGTTAAAGTCACTTTCTCAATAAACGATTAAGCCTAACTTCCACAATAAATTCATATAAAGACTTGTTTTTAATATGATAATTGTGAGTATCTAAGACCGATAAATGACAATTTTAAATAAAAAAAAAACAGGTTTTTAAGGAAATCAAGAAAAATAAGGGATGCCTAGAATTACATTGATAAAATATTATTACAAAGTACAATTGAATAATGTGGAATAAGTTGCGGATAAAACAAAATTCACCAGAAATGTATAAATTCAATTCGAATAAAATATCTACGAATATGTTAAGTATTTAATAACAATTAACTTAATAATGACAATAAAAAAGTTAAGTAATATATCTAAAGGGACAAGCCCCTAATTGGCTTCGACTTGCATCAAATAATATACCTTTCACAAGCTTATTAAGATGATTTAAAAGTTTTTAGAAGATGCACAAATATTGCAAGACTTTAAATTTTCAAGACTCCAAAATTGTAACAAATAAACAGACTTCTAGTGGGCTTTTAAGCCTTCCAATTATGTCTCCATTGTCACTTAATCCTTCCTGACTAGCCTCCTCCTCCTGCTCACCTGTTACCAAAGTTGCTCTTCCAGAAGTCGGCCGCATCCGCCTTGGTAATCCGGAACTGATCGCCGGCAAAGACACCGTTCGGGAAGATGGCCTTCAGCTCGCTGAGCATGTGCGAGAAGACCAGGCTGAGCTTGGTGAGATTGCGACGGTAGTGGGAGTTCTCGTCGAACATCTTCTCCTTGCCCTCCTTGAAGAGCTTGATGGCCTGCTTGCACTTGCGCATCAGATTGTTGATGAACACGTTGAAGTGCTCGTTGGCGTGGAGCAGGTGCATCTGGTCCTCGTTCTTGGAGTAGATCAACCGCAGACGCTGGTACGTGTCCGGCAGGATGTCCAGTATGAACGGCGGTGAGTTCTTCAGATTCATTTTGGGCTGCTGGCATAGCTTGACCACCTTGTCCATCAGCTTCCACGTCTTCTCCAGCGTCTTCTTGTCGGTGGACAGGCGCTGGGAGACGCACGCCTCCGAGATGGCGCCGTGCAGCTTGGAAAACAGCGAGGGGAAAATCTTTGGCTGCGATTGCACACGAGTCCCAGTGCCTCTCGTCGCCATCTTTTCTCTCTGCCGCTGCGCTGCCCCTCTGCCTCTGCTTCTCGCTGCTACTGCTGCTGCGTTGTTGTTGCTCCCTCTGCGTAGTAGTAGTGGTGATTGTGGGCTGCGAGTGATTTTCCTCTAGCCCGACTTCCCCCGCGTTCGCGACATGTAATCCCGTTGGCTAGCGTAATCCGTAACTGCCCGCAATCATAACTATTCCGACTGCGTGGTTGGCGACGTTCTTTTTTTATTTAATTTTCGAGTTTTTTTTATTTCCGAATTTTGCTTTCTCGATTAGAGTGACCGTTTCGCGATGGTATTAGTGCTGGCAAAACATCGGAGCACCATCGATACTATTGAAGATTGCATTTTTTCAGAGCATCGATATTTTTTGTACTATCGTTATTTTAATTAAGTTTATGTTTTAAACGAATATGATTTTTTTAGTTATAATTAATTTTAATTATATTAGATCTAAGAGATTAAGTAAAACACAAATAAAGTACGATTTTTTTTACAAACAGATGAACCGAAATTATATGCCGTTCCCATCATATTAATTTTCGAGCTTTTTATATTAAAATTATTAAATATGATAGATTATTTGTTGGCATAAAATAAATAAATAAAAAAATTATACTATCTATGTTTCGTCCGTAAAAACATTAAATAATTGATTTTTTGCTGCTCTACTAAGGATTGGCTCCCCTGAAAAATTTCAAAAAGCTGAAATCTCCCCTAAAAAAATTCAGTTTACCCCCTAAAATTAAAAAAATATTGTCAATTTAAAAAATATGAACAATTGTTTCTTATTGTTTCTCTATTTTAATGTTTATTTTAAACATATGCATCGAGAACATCTTCTGAAAACTCGGTTTGGTAAACCTCTGTGATGGAGGGGGGCGGCTTTAAGCTGAAATGCACTCGATAAATAATAACACGTAGACTTGTCGGGGTTTTACGCGACGTGCGTCGGGATGTTTATTTAGTCGTAGGTAAATCGGTACTAAACTATACAAAAGAAACTATAGCTAGGGAGAGCGGATTTGAAGCTCTTTGGACTGGAAGTCCAGAGGAAGAGGGAGAGAAAAGGAGAGCGTTCGGGATCACACTGCCTCCCGAAATTAAGCGCCTTTCTGGCGTGAACATTCTCCCCCCTTGCGAGGATACGCAGCAAAAGTACCAGGAAGTATTAGCTCTGGAAAGCGTAGGATAACGCTGAGCGTTCGTCGGCATGTAGAAGGGTGTGGTGATCCTGTCCACACGACTGGCATCGGTCGCTACTTCGACAGGATCCTCCGGAATGGTGGTGGGCCAGGCAGTTGACGCAGTACTTCCTGTCGATGACTGTCTGGAGCCGTTTCTTCGCATCAAGCCGGAGAAAACGGTGGCACTTCCGAAGAGGATGGTTCCCTTGGCAGACTCGGCATTGGTAGGATAAAATACCTCGGGAACGTCTGCTCTTGCTATCGTCGTATGGAACCCAGTAATTGGAATCGGCAGAAGTAGGCACTCGTGTGGAGAACGAGGAAATTCTTTGGATGGGTGCAGGAATTTGTGGTGCGTCATCACGAGGATTCGGAACACTGGATGAAGTGTTGCTTGGATGCAACAATGTGTGATGCCGACCGTGACACGTGAGACAGTTGTGGGCGCTTGTGCAATTACGGAGTGGATGACCGCTTGCAAAGCAATTTAAGCACAACTGCTTTTTCTCAATGTATGAAGTACGATCTTCTATCGTCATTTGAAGGAAGCGTGGACATTTACGCACTGGATGGTTCTCTGCAGAACACAAATCGCATCTTTTGGATAAGTGAACAATCCGCGTACTAAAGGATTGTAGTACTCGTGGCGACTGGTCGGAGATTGTCGGTTTAGACGAACGGAGGCATATCGTAGGAGGCTGGAGAGAATCGATGGTTTCCAGAGTTCTATGGCGCTCAGTAAGGAAAGAATCGAGTTCTAGCCACGACGGAATATCGGTTTTATTTGTTAAGGATTGCTCCCATAAGGAAAGCGTCAGCTTTGGAAGCTTCGTGGAGCACAAATAAACCAGGAGGCAGTCCCAATTATCCGTAGGAAGGCCGGACAGAGTTAGGGATGTGAGGCAATTTTGAATTGTATTTTGCAGCTCCTTCAAGGCTGCCGAGGACTCACGTTCAATGGACTGAATGTTCAGTAATTTCTTCAGTTGGCTGTTCACCAACGCGCGTTTATTTTCGAAACGCTCAGTTAGGTTTCCCCATGCTGAGCGGAAACCGTCATTGGTGAGTGGCGAATTGGAAACTATGGAATGAGCTTCACCACTAGTCTTGGCATTTAAATAGAACAACTTTTCTACAGGGGTCAGCGTAGGATTGTCGATATAGACCGCTGTGAAAAGGTCCCGGAAAGTCGGCCAGCGAAGATAATCGCCCGAGAAAACTTCCGTTTCGCACGGAGGAAGCCGACAGCCAGACGGAAAGGAATTTTGGGGCGCAGGAGGTTGGACTGGAGACGATTTGGAGGAGATCGTATCGATCTGTTCCATGAGCTGGGCGGCACACCGTTCGTAAATAAAATAGGAGTAGTCGTATTTTGCCTTAAGAGTAGGCAAGGTGTCCTCCGCGCCCTCTAACCCAACTGAAATCAGCTCTGAACAATCTTCGTACTCTTTCTCGACCTTATCCCATAGCGCTCGGACTTGGTCGAGATGGATTTGGCAAGAGTATTTGGATGGAGTGGGCGCTGCTGGATTGCAGACTCGGGACTCGAAGTGACTTAGACGGTCACAGATCAAAGTAAATTTGTCTAAAATTGAAGGAGCCATTCTGGATATTTCTTTATAATTTTTACTATAAATAGGTATTAAAATTTATGTGTCGAAGTTTGATTGGGAATTTAGGAACCAATCGGACTCGTAATAATTATTTTTGAAATAATTATTATATATAATTATTTGTGGAAAATTGTATTTTTCTCGTATGGAATTTAAATCGAGAATATTTGAATTAAATACGGAATTACGAAAATACGGTCACACTAGTGCGGATACGGAAGCGCACTTGGATTTCTAACTTAATTCGTTAGTTGGAATTTTAATATAAAATAATTTACAAATTATTTTATTGATCTGGACTTATGTGATTGACCGGTGTTGTATTTTGGAACCAATACGTATGTATGTCTATTTGTGCACTTGTCGTATGCAAGTGCAAAATAGCGGAGATAAGGAGAGGCGGAAAAATTGCCAAATATTGGAGCGTCGACTTGCAGACGATTATGTATGTATGTACATATGTATATTTAATTAGGTGAAGCTCAGGATAGAGCAAGGGAGAGTAAATAAATTAAATATATGTCGGAGATAAATTCTGGGAAGAACGCTTCTCTTAAGAAGCGTTGCGCTAGGCATAGCAGCAGAGACGAGAGCAGTCTGAATTCGGGGAAGTACGCTTTTTCTAAGAAGCGCATCGCGAGGCATAGCAGCAGAGACGAGCGCAGTCTCTGCTGGCGAGTGAGGTCCGTTGTCGCGCTACCGAAAGTCATAGGAGAGAAAGAGAGGTATATAGATCAACTGAATTAAGAACGTGGACAGAAGATATAGATGGATGGAGAGAAGGGAGTGGAAGTTTAGTTTGGTTTGGTAACGATCGGCAACGGAACTCGCTGTGCTACCGCGCGAGGATATGAATATGGACGAAACTATCGCGCCTCTGACATCAGAAGTGGGATCGGCTCCGCCACCTGAACAAAGCCCGATCCAATATATGGCCGCGTTGGAGAAACAAAACAGAAATTTAATGGAAATAATAAAAACCATGCAGACACCAAAAGCACCGGCGTCGGACGGGAGGACAACGCATGTGACACTGCCCAAGTTCAATCCCGATGGTGCTGGAGCGGATGCATCAGCTTGGTGCACGACGACTGATTTGATTTTCGCAGACAACATCGTTGAAGGCAGCGCACTAGTGATCACTCTCAGCAAGGCGCTGGAAGGCAGTGCCTCTCAATGGCTCTCCCAGATATGCTTCGCCGGCATCACTTGGACTCAATTCAAGGAATTATTCATCCAACGATTCGTGGGCATTGAGACAACGGCTGCTGCAGTGATGAACGTTCTTAACGGGCGTCCCAAGTCCGGAGAGAGCTATGCTGAGTATGGCAACCGCATAGTCACCCTACTACTGTCCAAGTGGAAGGCTAAGGATATGGAGGAGATTGCTGTGTCAATTGCTTTAGCTCACATGGCACAAATCGACAATAATTTGTTGCGTTGTGTTTTTACCACCAATGTGTCAACGCGTAATGAGCTACATCGGCAGCTGCAGGCGTACGCATTCAACAAACGCAAACACGAACCGGATGAATACTCGGAGAGGAAAAAACTACAGCAGCTGAAGTGCCATTTTTGTGGAAAAGTGGGACACGAGTATGCCCAATGCCGTGCTCGAATGGAGAAGGTACACGAAAAAGGAAAGATGTACAATGGAGGCAGCGGTTCCGAAGCGAAGGATCGTCCAAACATTAGATGCTTCAGATGCGACGAAGTTGGACATGTGGCCTCTGTGTGTCCCAAAGGTCGTACTCATGGAATGGACAAGGAGAAGCGCGTAGACATACTTACGTCAAATAGACGAGAGTAAAGGTTTGGTTAATCAGATGGGTGAGCCAATTCTTATTTTGTGTTTGTTTTGCTCAAAAAAAAAAAAAAAAAAAAAAAAAATTAAATGGAATTATCCAATCAAATTGTTGGAAGAAGAAATAAATAATTTAGCCTTCTTAAGAGGAGTTTGCGACAATATTGTGGAGAGCAATTAGTTGGAGAATTATAGGAAGAATTCCAAGGTGACTTTGTGTCCCAAAGTGGGAAATTATATGTGGACGGCATCAGGGAATGCTCGTCGGAAGTGGTTTGTGGACGGCATCAGGGAATGTGCGTCGAAAATAGTAGTGGACGGCATCAGGGAATGTGCGTCGGAAGTGGCATGTGGACGGCATCAGGGAATGTGCGTCGGAAGTGGCATGTGGACGGCATCAGGGAATGTGCGTCGGAAGTGGTATGTGGACGGCATCAGGGAATGTGCGTCGGTGTCCCGGAGTGGAACATATGTAGAATGTGGACGGCATCAGGGAATGTGCGTCGGTGTCCCGGAATGGGAAATGATATGTGGACGGCATTGGAGGATGTGCGTCGGAGATAGTATGTGGACGGCATCAGGGAATGTGCGTCGGAAATAGTATGAGGACGGCATCAGGGAATGTGCGTCGGTGTCCCTGAGTGGAACTTATGTAGAGTGTGGACGGCATCAGGGAATGCGCGTCGGTGTTCCGGAGTGGAACATAGAATGT